GAGAGAGAGAATGAGTAGTGAGAGAAAATTTAATTACAGATTTTGAAATGGTGCTTGGGTGGGAGTTAGGTGAGGTGAATATGTAGATATTAGGTTTAGGCATTGTTTACGAGTCCTACCATGAAACAAAAAGTCAATTTCTGCTGCATAACTGTTGGAATTTCTAAATGGCTGAAAGAATTTAAAACAAACAGGGGCTTAGTTAAATTTTTATTAATTATAATTATTAAAACTTAATTACCACCTGATTTGTGAAATAAAAATTAATCCACCTGTTTTTTGAAAATGAATACTTTAAAAGTAGGTTTTTAGGTAATTTTCTCATTACGTTTTCCTGATTTTTTCGATTTAAGGGTAGGGAAAAATTCATAAATAAGCTATATACTTTACACCAATTCAAAAATCAGGTTTATAGTTTGAAAATTCAAAAATAAGGTTTTTTTTTTAATTTTTATTTATGAAATAATAAATTATTAAATCAATTTATTATTAAATATTTAATTCTAATAGAATATAATTAACGCATCCTACGTGCACCACCCATATTGCTTCGGGGACTATTCCGACGACTGTTTCGGCGACTGCTCCGATTCCGGCGACTATTCCGGTGATTATTCTAGTCACAGATTTACAATTTACGGTCATAACTCAAAAATTTTGCAGGTCACAATTAATTCGTTGGTCACAGATTTCAAAATTAGTTGGTGACAGATCAAAATTTATATATCACACAATTATAGATTTTCAAATTAATTATAGGTCACAGGTCACATATTTTAAAATTATTTGGTCACATATTATTTCAAGGTCACATATAAAAATTTTGAACATCACACTTTATTTCAAGGTCACATATTTTTAAATTAGTTGGTCACATATTATTTTTGAGTCACATATTATTAAATTTTAGGTCACAGTTGAGTAAATTTTCACAGACTACCAAACATTTGGTCACAAACTACTGTCACTACCACTATGGCCACTTTCGACCACCCTCTCCAACACTACCAGCACGGCAACTACAGCCACTTGCAACCACCCTCACCTCCACCACCGCCACATCACTACAACACTACCAA